GTACCGGTAGCTAGTACAACTACATCTCATGAAGCAACTGTAAAGTACATGTATTGCTCGACATGATGGGGAAACACATTGTTATCATAGAGATGGGCACTCATACCAAGAGCACCAATGACACCAAGCATGAGCTCTGTTGTTTATCGCTGTGTGCCTCTCCTTCTCGCACAAATGCCACTGGTACAATTACTACCTGAGAGGGGCATAGTGGTACGAGTACCACGCAAAGTTGGCAAGCACAAAAGTACACATGTTTTAAAAACAGGACGGGTTAGCCCGCACGTGCATGGTGATATGACCCCACCCCCATGAACGATCGAAAGCTCCACATCGGACATGAAGATGATGCTGTCGGCGGGTCTCTGACAATCAGAAGCGCTGTGTTATGAGACCTACTTTCCGTATCGACTACAAACAGTTATGTTGGGTTCGCATTAGCTGGATAAAATACACATTACACTGTTTATCTCAATAATTTCAAACCTTATCTACAACTTGCATATCTTCACCTGATCCAATGCATTTTGACTGTCCAGCCGTGCTGCACTTCAATCGTTTGTATGTAATGATGCATCGCTTTGCTGCTCTGCCTTCTATTGATTCGCTATAGTTCTTGTTGGCGCCCATTGTTTTGCGGTTGCCGAATGACTGGCAGCCTCTCGTTTGAGGTTCGTAATAATCATTGGCACCCATTATGAAACCATTATTGAAGTTCGTAATGGCTCTACGTTTCTCAGCAGTATCCATTTTACGAGGTGCTGGGTCTCTCAGTGTCGTCTCTCACTCTACCATTCGCCCACTCCAGCACAAGTCAAGCGTGTCGGTCGACGGTAAGGGCAGGATGCGTCCTGCAACTACTAGCGTTTGAGCGCGTCATGCTGCAATCTCGGGGCACTAACAACGCGAGCAAGATGCACTTAAATCTTGAAAAATTCACCACTGGAGACCGCAAACAGGACGATAAAGAGCCCAAGAAGACGAAGGTCCGAAAGCGACGTGGACCGGGAGCTCATGCGATTGAAGAAGTGTTTGCGACACTCAGCAATGCTCGGTCGTCGGGGCTCAATCCTCCTCCAGAGCGTATCATACTGACACCTCGATCAGCAGAAGCTTGTTTACGCTGTG